CAGAAAGCAATATTCAAAGGAGGAGATAACCATTCAACACTATGTATGATTTTTGTAGATGTCGTACTCTCATTCAAATCCCAAATTAATACATAACCTTTAATGTTTTTCATTACAATTTTTTAACTGATCTGTTCATCAATTCATGTAAATTAAAATTAAAGTAAAAGTTTTTATTTACTAAGAACATTGAATGAAGATTTTCTTCAGAAATATTCAGCTGAAGGCTACTCTCTATAATAAAATCATTTCATGGTATATAATTTTCGCATAGCTTTAATTTCTTCAATTTTGCCATCATTCACTTATCTTACTCTATCAAATCTAAAAAGTTGTTCTAGAGGGTAAAGTAAAAAGTGTATTGTAGGAGTGTACCTGATGCAGATACAGCTGCCAATTTGCTAGAACCACCTTTTTCACTCCATGCAATTGAAATAGTTGGTGCATTATTACAACATTCTGGACAGAAAAGAACCAAATCAGGTTCGGAGCAACGGTACACCAGTTGGTCATTATCACTGGTTGAAGGGATCGGCATGTCATTACGTATTCTAAAATTTAATAATTAAATCTATATTTCGTAGCCAGATATATCCATAATTAATTCCTTGAAGTTTGTTTTTTCTCTCACCCTCTAAATATACCAGATATAATAAATAATCTGTATCTGTAATTCCTGAATTAAAATTATTATATTACTTACAGAATTAAGCTTACTGCCTGCGATCTATGTTTTGTTGTTACTGATAACATTTTCCTCAGTTTCCTTGTCCCCAAAAGTACTGTACTTAGCTTAAATGAAAATTTTTATGACTCGAACAAAAACTGAATAAAAATTGGAATTAAAATCAAGCAAACTCGAATGAAAATCACACCAAATTCCTCAAATTTCATCTCCATTAACGTAAGAAACAGCTATGATAACAGTGAAGAAGCAAATTTACTAACCCATAAAGTGAAATTGGACCATTTATACCACCGACTGCAAGAATACCAACAAAATTTGACAATTTGCTATCTTGTTTAACAGAATTTCGTAACGATGGACACCAAGCTGTACAAAGTATCGTGCTGTAGTTCACTTCCAGAAGAAACCACAAAGATGCAGAGATCCTAAAAAAGTTAAAGTTTGAATTAGATAAAATTTTCCGACTATCAACTATTTTCTTAGTAAATTACAATGATGCAATATACCTTTCCGGTTTATTGTCATAGATCCAGAATTGAATATAATCATTATGACAACTTTTCCGATTTTTTAAAACTAAATATTCTTCATCAGCAAAAACCGTGACAGCTACACATTCACGACCTGAATTTTTTTTTAAAAATTTAGAATATATATAGAAAACCATAAAGCAATAGTAAAAAGTTCCATTAAAGACGAAATCTATATGCACAGTAAAGCTAACAGCAGTCCAATGCTTTTGGATATTCCGTATACGCAAGCCTTGTTTTATTTCTATCAATTGTTTTGCATTACTTATTTTCTTCCATCAAATTCAATTAAAATCAAATTGAACTCCAAGCAGTATTCAGTTGTTAATGCCGCGAAATAGAAAATTCATAAAACAATAAATTTCCACTGTCAAAACAACCAACCATCTTCAAGTTTTCGTGGACAGCTTTCAATTGTTGATATTGGTCCTCCGCAATATGCTACACAACCAATTTCGTGTATATCATTTTCAGCTAACGTAAAATGTCTGAAATTAGTTATATGCAAATAAATTTTGGAAGGAAAATGAAATCTCAGTTATAAAGGAAAGTAGAAAAAAGTTACGGTTGCTAAATTTGTCTTTAACTTTTTCGTTGAAAACAAGGAACAAAAATCTTGTTAATACTTTCAAACAAATGATACAATAGTAAAAAGTAAAATCAGGCTATCAGCGCTTCAAACTAAACCATACTTCGTCATACAAAACTTAAGAAATTCATAAATCTAGAGGGGAGGAAGGAAGAGGAAGAGAGAGAGGAAAGGTTAAAATTATCAAAATATCAGGATTAACTGAACATTAAATCAGTGCGCTTTCCGAATCAAAGAAAACGTATGTAGACACGACTAACCATTTAATCATAAACTTTAATCACAAAAAAAAGTTTGGATAGTCAGCACAAAAATCAGTTAAATTCGAAATTACTCATCATTAACTTACACTTTTCTCGTCTTGCAATGTAAAGGTTTGGGTACAAAAACTGGCAATCTTTCCTTGATCTGATCTTTTTCAACATCTTTTGCACTTCCACTTCGACTTTCATCCGATGATGCCGGTTGCCATTCCTTGCTTCTGCCAGAAGGAAGTATTACGGGAATGGAGCACTTATCGAGCATGATATTCAGATTTTCACTACAATTTTAAAGGAACGTGAAGAATTCAAAATTTGAAAGTTTCCTATTCAAAATATTAAAATAAAACGAAAGTATAAAATCAAAAAGATGATAAACCTGAAATCACAAGGTGTAATACGTTTAAAATTATTTGGACGACGTTCAAATTGGACAAGCACATCACATGGAGATTCCTTTTCTCTTTGTATCCGAAGCAACTCGTTAGCTCGATCAATCGTTTCTTGATATTGCATTAATTCATGTGGTGTTGGAGCATTTGCTGAAAATTTGTGATAATTTATCATAAAAATTAATCATCAACTAAACAGATCATTTCCTGACGTTAATTAATTTTAAGAAATAATCTGCTTTCAAGAGAAAAAGATTAAACAAATACGACAAAGTACTGTGATTCGACATAAAACTTCTGTGAGGACACAAAACATTTACTAAAAAGAAATAAAATAGGAAGTTGAAAGTAATTTAAATTTGAAAGGACAAATTCTAGCACTAGCAGATCTAACAACGTTAATCGATGATAACTGAACAACGATTTCGAAAGAATACTTAATTGAGTTGAACTATTGATTTTCAGTTATCAAATTCGAATATTCAACATTCTAATTTAAAATCTGAAGAATTTACTCCACAGAATAAAATTTCAATATTTGTCATTAACTAACTGAAAAAAAGTAGATTCCGGAAAGACTTAAAGAACAGTTTTCATTTCAAATAAAGACTGTAATACAGACAACAGTTAAGTAATTTTACAGTTAAAAAAATTACTCGAATTTGACGTACCTTCAAGATTTGCGCTTTTAAATTTAAACCGTTTAACTCCATCAGCTATTTTAATGCGTGAACTTTTCTCCGGCAAATATCCCTGTGCTATTGACGCCACTTTCTGTTTACCAGATTTCCTATTCTGCAAATGGATTGGAGAAGGACGTGAACAAGTGGAAAGAAGCCTCGAAGCTCTTTTTAAATGCTAATCAACTCTTGAGATAAGAGGGTTAAGTCTGAAATCTTATAATTCTCTTCTGCAAGATGGAGCTCATTAACAAGAATATTACTTAAACATTTAGCAATATCCCTTTTTTAGCTATTATCACAAAATTGGCGGATTTTCAGCAAGAAGCTAATTTTGGCAGGAATGAATCTTCTATCTGAGGTAATTAAAAGAACAAGCTAAAAGAAGCTTATGTAAATTATTTTTCATAAATATACTTTTCCAAATTTCCTTGAAATATCCATATCCAATTCATCAATTTCTGAATTTCCAGAGTATGATTCATCGTCCGATCTAAAAATCTTCAGTGCAGTCTAATACTAATGATGACTGCTTACAAAAATGAAAAACTTCTGATTAACCCTTCAGAGATAGAAATTTTAGCAACCTTTCTCCTTTCGCTCTTGTTTTTCGATTTGCACACAAGGCCAAATGCTCACGACCATCTGCTACAGTGGCTGTAACTCCGCATTTCCAACATTTCCAAGGCAACTGATCCTACAAAGCTAACAAAATTCAAAAATTCCATCAATTTCCATAAGATTTTCGCACTCTCCTTTCCTTCGCGTGGAATTAGTTTTTTCTCTGACAAATCGTTTAAATTTAGATTTTTTTTGAACAAACAAATGTTCTTGTGATACATTTTAGATCAATACAATCTTCTGCACTTATCTTTAAATCACAAAAATCTTTAAAACATTTATGCATTTGAAATTACTTTCCATAATTTTAAAAATTACCCTGTCCTGACCACATCTCTCAAGATGATATGACAGTGCATAGCGATGCCCATATTTTTGTGCACAGTTCAATGTATCGACATTCAAACACGGCAAAACTTCCAATGCATTCATTGAAACCCGTAATATTTTCGCTTTAGTGACTTTATCAAGCACTCGAAACGCATCAGCCTTACCCTATCAGCAAAAAATATTATAATATTCAATAATAATATGAACTTTTAGATAATGAATAAAAGCTTATTTTTCCAAAACATCTAAATAAATTACAATTTGTATAGCATCTCAAAATTTTAAATGAATTGTGCCTAAAATAATTATATTATCCTTTATTTTAAAGTAGAGTCAAAAGACTTACTATATATTTGAAATATTCCGGTAATTTCAGACACCTATCTACGTGATTAATAATATCCTCCACAGTCTTCAAAGCTTTTGTACATTTTTCATTCAGACATTTCACTGTGCCGTCTGTGCTTTCCGCAAATGCTCGCAGTGCAAGTTCTTGCTTTTCTTTTTTTGATAATACTGCCCAACTGGTTGTATGACCCTGAAAATTACAGTTTTAAATTAGTCACAACTCTTGAATTTAAATCAATTTTGAAGTGCGTAATTTAAAAAATTTCCTAATGAATTTAAATTTAATTTATTTATCCATTACTAATTCTATTGTATTATTATATCAAACTTGTGCACATATCTGTGTTACACTGGATCAGGTCTTTTATCTCCCAGTGGGAAAGATAAAGGCCTAGTTCCCAGAAAAACTTGCAATATTTAAAAGTAGCTAAGTTATTGCAAACTTAGTAACGAATGAATAAATAAATAAGTGAAGAATTAAATACTCGAACAAAGACTACCAGTAAAAACAATCTTCAGTCTACCTATCAAAATGTTCCATCCTACTATGTATATAATCAAATTATGTCTTCACTTACCCGATAAGCTGCATATTCGGCATATTTCTCCGGAGGGCGTCTTCGGATTCGTTTCTGAAATCAATATTACTGCAATTACGTTCAAATCATCCAAAAATTAATTATACTTTGTATTTCCGTTTGTTCCCCTTTCTTACTTCTTTTTTCAATACATATCCTTAAGTCCTTAGAATGATTATTTAGAAAAAAAGTAGTAGAAACTTTTCCTCTTTCCTCTCCTACATTATTCATTTCCATCGTCTAAAATGAAATTCAAATTTATTTGAAGACTGTATTCATTAAAAAAATCACATTGAAAAGTTTTGAGGACTGAACAGTAGCAAGATTTTCCGCTTCATCGGATTTGCTGCCGCCTAAATTATCATCTTTTTCATCTTCGGAGTTAACCATAGTAATCGAAAGGTTCTGGAAAATAAATTAATAATCCTGAAGAAGCTAACGAAGATTAAATTTGACACAAATTTAAAAAGTGTCTGTTAGTGATATTTATAATATTCTAGAAAAAGTAGCTTTGACTTCCGAAAAGCTCTGGAAAATGTACCATAAGATTTCGATCATACTTCTAGACCAGATAAGGATTAGCTCAAACCTAATTTCTGACAAGTTCCAAGAACTGTCAAAATTTGCATTCACTCCCCCCAAAAAAAATGGTGTGGTGTGCAAATGCAAAATGTTGATCTAGACTTCGAAGAATATTCTATTTTTTTCAAATATTTCAAAAATAAATCGATGAAGCAAGAGATAATAAATCTATTAGCACAACCTGCTCTTCCTGTTCTTCTTTGTTTCTGTCACTTTTTCGGACAGATCTCTTACTGGCTTTCCTTGGTCCAATATTATCATTATTATTTCTTTTATTCGACGCTGCCTTTGAATTGCCGCCTCTATTTCTCTTTAAATTCCTTAAATTCTTCTTCATCTGCAAAAAAAAATTGTAAACAGAATATTTAAAAAGAAAAGTATTGGTGAATGGAACGAAAAACTACTGTGCTTTGAAAAGATAACATAGAATTTACCTAGAAAAATTAAGTATGAACATATATTGATCATTGCAATGCAATCAGTTACATTTTGCATAAAAATTTTAATCAAATTTTTTTCTTATTCACAAAATATTGCATTAGCATTAACTTTGTCAATATTAATGTTAACTCAAATAAAATAAAATAATGAAATACACTTTTTTCTCATAGGATAATCTAAATTCAACATATATTTTCTCACAGTTATCATCATAAGTGAGTTAAAATAAAATAATTGAAAAAAGTAACAGAAAGAAAAAACAAAGTTATGCAATTTACAAAAGAAATTTACAATCAGAGCACGAGTAATAGACCTTTGACCTTTAGCTAATCAATAACGACTCATAACTTGGGTTCATTTAATTTAACACTGAGCCAAAAAAAGCGAAGAATTCAATAATAACAACCAGTGAACCATCAATGAAAAGCAAAATTACTACATCAGCAAACGATTCAAGAATAAATACCACACAGGGAAGTTGGCAAAAGAATCAAGAACAATATACCCCGGAATCGATCTTCAATCTTATTTACCGACGTGCAATAGCTACAGTATGTTAGAAAGAGTTCTAAGTATCACTGTGTAAGAAAAAGCTCAATAGTGAATGAATGAAATTAATAGCAATAGCATAGCATTCATTAATTTTACTTGATTTTCCCACTACTCTCTATTCACCATTGTTCTTTTATTACCGATATTCAGTTTTTAAATTAAAATTTTTGAAAGTATACTACAAGTGAAATTTTTTGAATTGTTATCAAAATTGCATTAATTTTTGATGATAGTTGAGAAAAAAATTTTTAAAATAATACCTTTTTGGAATTTTCATTATTTTCCGCAAAGGAATGTAAGAAAAAGAAAGTGAAAATTTCGCTAATTTTATTTAGTTGAATTGAAAGTTAAATTTTTGTTTATCATTTTTTTAAAACAAATAATTGCTAAAGTTGTTATTTAAATAAATGTAAGTTATATTTAACATTACATATCCAACACAGTCGATTTAGGTTATATAGGAGTATATGGCCCCTACAATAATAAAAGGATGAATTAGGTCAACGAAGGACGCATCTCTTCACCCGATGAAAATTTGTCCGCTCCGGTGATACCGCAAAAATGCTTCTTCACATTTTCGTTATTCTGCTTCTATGTTTCCTTGAATCTTCTTATACAGGTAAATGATTACTAAATGAATTATCTTGCTATTCAAGTACTAAATTAATGAAATACATATAAAATAGCATTGATTCTTTTCTTGGCTCATTCGCTTTGTGTAATCTTTAACCTGCAATTATGGTAGCAGATCAAAACTTATCGATGATAATTAAACCAAAGAGGGAATGATGCTATGATATATGTTGGCTAATTTATGATTCAGCTAAATGATTCATATCACTGAGAAGAAAACAAAAAAGCAAACAAATAAAATTAAATAAAAATTTGATAGGAACATTGAAAAATTATCCAAATATTCCTAAAACTTTAATTATATTGTCACAAAAATCAACAAAATAAGTAATGAATATAAAAAGATTAAATTAATTGAAGCTTTTATTAAGAATGTACAATTATTCCTGCTCGTATATTATTTTTCGGAAATCGTTCACACATCAGTTTATTATATTTGGTAGTTTCATTATCATCAAATGTGATCAGCACTGAATGATAAATATAATTGAAAAAATTAGATAACATATAGAATTTAATGCATTTGTTCACTCAAAACTAACTGGCTAAATTATCATAATTAGTAAAAATTGCTAGCAACATAAAATTTTAAACTTAAAATTTACACTAGCATACTTAAAAATATTTATTAATGAAAAGAACTATAAATAATTGCTATAAATTTTCTGACATAAATATTTCAGCTAAATATCTTGGTGGTATACCGGTACCTGGTCGTTCGGTACCACCTATGCGAATTTTTGAACTTTACGCTAAATCTTGCACACCAAATGATCGAACATCAGCGATTACTGAACAACTGAGCAATGTTAATTGATTATGCAATTTTTTTCATTTCATCATTCTGTTTAATTTAACAATTTCAATAATTTTTTAAAAACATTATTAAAACATTACTTTCTTTCCAATTATTCGTCAAAAAAATATAAATAATGTGACGATTTCAGTCTTTTTTTGATAACATAATTTCCTTTTTTGAAGTTATTACGAAGTTTGGATGCAAACGATATTGCAAATAATTTATATAATTCATTATACATGGCCGTCGGTGATATTAATGTTACAAAATTGATGGGTAAATGGTTTGTGGTAAGTAAATTTGAGTAGCTTTTATTCCAAAGAATATTCTTCAATTTCAATGTTATTCTTTTTTCTTATTTTTAAAAAAATTTTAATTTATAGGTGGTTGATACACCAAGCATTCATCATGAATATTGTCCAATATTTTATTGTAAGTTTTACTTCTCTTTTTTTTGGTCTAATTGATTTGAATTAAAATTTTTCAAAAATTTGTGTTTTGCTTTTTTTCATTTGTAATTCAGTTGAATTATTGGATAAAACCCCTTATACGGCAATATTTACGGTGCGGCAATATTCGCGAAATACGGAAAAGATTAAGATTTTGGAAGGATATGGAAGAAAGATGGGAACAGATCCAGCAGAATTACTCATTAATATTGGCCATCCGGCTGATCCATGTCCATGTAAGTAAAGTTTACAGTTCATGTTAAAACGTTATTAAGAATTTTGAATGAACGTAAATATTAAATATTAACAAGCAGATGGAATAACAATTTTCGAACAAACGAATGCTAACCAAAAATTCTTTTGATGTTAAGCGTATGTTGAAGTAACTATGTTAATGTTTTCCATTTAATTATACGCTAGCGGAAATATCCTCTGTGCAAGCACAAATATCCCTAGCATAGTATAAATGCCATTGATGTATGAGTTATCATAGTGCTATGTATCCTTAAAGAGTATAAGAAAAAGATGATGAAATTATCAGTTACATTGATGAAATATTTGACGTATGCCAAGTTCACGTTAAATACGAATGCCCTTCCTATAGACGCAGGAAACGATGATTTTTTATTAATTTTAAAAAAATTATTTATTTATGACTATATGCACAAATTCAATGAAATTTGAAAACTGTACTTATTTATTTTATTGAATATAAAAACTGGATTGATTTAAAATTACATGCACATTTAATACTTCCGTAATTTTCCAAACTGTCGGATCAATTCTTTCGTATCGTAATAATTTTTCAGATTCAATAGCACGTAGTGGACCAATTAATGTTAACGAACAATATGATTATATCATTCTAATTCAACCACTGAAATATCCAATTATGGTCCTCGCACGTGATCCGGTTGATTTTGATAACAAATATAAAGAAGAGGTAATAAATGATAATCACGCATTAGATGATTAATTAATGCGAATAGTGATTGTGACCAGTAATAAATATTACTGTTATAAAAAGAAATTAAATAAAAGTTAAATTAAAATAAAATGAGAAAGAAATTCGATGAAATGAATTTATCAGGTATGTTCTAAAAAAATTTTATAAATTGTATTTTTTTTTATTTCGTCTCTTGATTTTAATTAATTTATAATCTATATGGATCACACTGCAAATTAAAACTTTTCTAAAAACATTATTGAAATATTATTTATTTTTCAAAACAAATTTTTCTTTCGTTAATTTTAAAAAATTTTAGGTCAAAATTTTCTTGGAAAATCAACATTTTTGGCATTCTGCGTTTTCACTCAAAAATACTACCCTTTTTCTTAACACAACGGATTGCTTTCGGACAAATCAGTATAATCTCGGATTTGATTCATAATTAACACTACTGTAAATGTAATGGCATGATTTTATCACTTTGAATAAATATTATTACTTTTATATATTTAATGTTAGGAATGCAGAAAACAAAAGAAATTTTTGCTAATTTTAATATGTTTAGTGTGCAGATCTTAATTAACAAATTATTTTCTTTTTCTGACAATTTTAACATTTGTTTGATAAAAATTTTTTCAAAGCTAAAGTATAAATTTTTGTACAGCACTACGAAATGTCCAATTATTCAATAAAATTCTCATAGTGAAATAGAAAAGGAAATAGTTATTTTACTATAAATGAAAACAGTATAAATTTTTGCTGAAATAAATTAATAAGGATGAAAAAGTAAAATACAATAAGAATTTTTGTTTTATGGCATAGAAATAGGAAGAAAGAAAATTGCTAGATTTACAAAGCAATAATTTTAGCAAACATTTTAAAAATTCAAAATTGCACCTACCAATTTAACACCTGATTTATTCTAATAAAAAGTTGAACAAATTCATATAAAATATTCATCTATTCAACTTTCCAAGTATTAAACTTTCAGACACCACTTTCATTGGTTACGTATAAATTTTTAGTCCCAAAATTAAAGGAATGAATTTCACGGAATATTTTTCCTTGAAATTTTTTGGTGCCTATTGAAAAGATTTTCATATCAGTGAAAAAGAGATAGGTGAATAAAAAAGGAAATAAAATAAAAGCAGATGTCAATTTTTTATTTTGGCCATTAAAGATCCAAGTAAATGTTAACTTCTCAACATAGTCATAAAATTCCTTTTTTTATTTTAATCGATGATCACAATTAAAAAATCATCAATTTAAAATTTTTGAAAGCCATGGCTGAAATTACAGTTAATCGAGAGCAGATTGACAATAAATAATGACTAACGGATGACAAGAAACTTTGTGTTCCAGACGTTTCAAACATCTTTGTGTTTGTCAGAAATTCAATCAGTAAAGTCATTGCATCTTTGATGTAAACGCAGAAATCGTTAATTACCCATTTTTAAAAAATCAAAGGAACTAAATTTTTTGTTTTATCTTGGCTGCTTTCTCTCTACAGCTAATTAACTTCAAATTCAGTTGCTTCATTTTAAAAAATTTCAAAAATATAACTAATT